TGGGGGTGATGTGACGAAGGTGGTTCTTAAGATCGTAGAGGGAACGGAATCAGCGGCATGCATAAATGATACCATCCTAGTTCTGATTCCAAAGGTAAAAAATCCCACACTTCTATCACAGTTCCGTCCAATTAGTTTGTGCAATGTACTCTATAAGATTTCCTCGAAGGTCATCTCCAATAGACTGAAACAAATATTGCCAGATATAATCTTTGAGGAGCAGTCAGCATTTGTCCCAGGCAGATTAATTACCGATAACATAATTACTGCTTATGAATGTTTGCATTTTATGAAGAGGAACGGGGCAAAAAAGCATCAATCTTGTGCCTTGAAGCTGGACATGACGAAGGCATATGACAGGATTGACTGGACGTACCTCAAGGCTATAATGCTCAAACTGGGGTTCAATATCAAATGGGTGGATATTGTGATGGGCCTGGTTACTTCGGTACAATTCTCAGTCATGTTTAATGGGAAAAAGCTTCAGCAGTTCATGCCATCGCGTGGGATCCGGCAAGGGGACCCGATATACCCATACTTGTTCTTGTTAGCAGCAGAGGGCCTATCGTGCCTCCTAAAATCAAAAGGCGAGTCATCCAACTTGAGTGGAGTACAGGTGGTGCCCACGGCACCACAAGTGAACCATCTCCTATTCGCTGATGACAGCATGTTGTTCTTCAAGGCAAACGGTGTGGGTGCTACCGAGGTGAACCAGCTGCTAGAGATTTATAGCCAGGCAACAGGTCAGCGCATTAATTATGCAAAATCTTCCATATTTTTTAGCAAAGGAGTTCCTGACAATATTCGGGCTGAGATAAAAGGCATCCTGAATGTCCCGAACAAAACCTTGAGCGAGAAATATTTGGGTATGCCATCTGATGTTGGAAGCTCAAAAAACGGTGCATTTAGATACCTGAAAGACAGGTTGTGGAGTAAAATTCAGGGTTGGATAGAGAGGACCATGTCAACAGCAGGGAAGGAAGTTCTAGTTAAATCGGTGGTGCGGGCTGTGCTGGTGTTTTCCATGTCATGTTTTAAGCTACCCAGGGGCCTTTGTGAACACCTAAATATGCTAATAAGAAAATTTTGGTGGGGGAGCACAAATGGGCAACGCAAACCACACTGGGTATCATGGAAGGCAATGACACAACCTAAAAGTATGGGAGGACTGGGATTCAAAGACTTCGAGCTCTTTAATTTGGCAATGCTTGCTAAACAAGCATGGCGCTTGCTACAGGATCCCGGGTCGCTGAGTGGAAGAATATTGAAAAGTGTTTACTTTCCAAATACATCAATTCTGCATGCGACTTTAGGGAATCACCCAAGTCAGTTTTGGAGAGCCATCATTGAAGGTCGGGACACTTTGAAACAAGGGCTGATTAGGCGTATTGGCAATGGTAACATTATGAAAATCTGGGAGGATAACTGGCTACCTCGCGAGGAGATGATGAGGCCCTACAGATGCATATCTCCCCCTGTCATGGTTTCAGAGCTCATCAACGCAACAATTGCCACATGGAATATACCGCTAGTGAATTCCACTTTCATGACCTTTGATGTGACGGTAATTTCAGGCATACCACTGTGTACTATGAACATGCAGGATTTTTGGAGCTGGGCACATGACCGAAGTGGCCAATTCTTAGTACGTTCGGCCTATAATATGCTTGTGGCGACAAAACAGAGAAGAGAAGCTTGGCTTGAAGGATCTGCGGGATCATCAAACACTCGCACCAACGAAGGATCATGGAAAACCTTGTGGAAGACAACGGTCCCGTCCAAAGTGTGTATGTTCTTGTGGAGGTTGTCAAAGCAATACTTACCTATGGAGGACGTCAGAGCACACCGTAAAATGTTGAAAACAAGTACCTGCGGCTTCTGCGGGGTTCAGGATTCATGGCGGCATTCCATCCTAGAATGCACTAGTGTACTAAGATGCACCTGGGCATTGGTAGACGAAGAGCTGAGTTGCATTTTGGCTGCCTCCACATAAACAAGTGCCAAGAGCTGGCTCTTCAGCCTGCTGGATACCTTATCGCATGAGAAATTTGTCCTAGTGGAGGTTACCCTATGGGCAATATGGACATCTCGACGAAAGGCCATTCATGAGGCTATTTTCCAAACACCGCATGCAATACAAATGTTCATTACTCGGTTTATTGCAGATTTGGAAGCTATCTGTAGCCCAAATCCTACACGGGCTGCTTCGGCGAGGAAAGGTACATCGATACAGAGGCCGAGGGCACCTCCAGCAACATAATCCAAAATTCATGTTGATGTAGGAGTATGTACCCGCAAAGGAGGAGCGGTCGTAGCCGTGTGCAGGGATAGCCAGGGCTTGTTCTTGGGTAGCTCGGCACTTGTCATTCCAGGAATTTGGGATCCAACCACGCTTGAGGCGATGGCATGCCATGAGGGCATTGCACTGGCAGAAGATCTCAATATTACGCTTTGTGCTATCGTCTGATTGCAAGCAGGTGATTGGGGACATCGCTAAAGGAAACCAAGGACCCTACGAAGCCATTATCATGAAAATTATCTCTAGATCGTCACCACTTTCTTGTACCTTTACTTTTGAAAGTCTTCGATGTAATTTCGAAGCTCATAAGTTAGCTAAGTTTGCTTTGTCTTTAGCTCAGGGGCGTCATGTGTGACTTGGCCAGCCGCATGACCAAACTTGTATCCCACTTTCTGTGGATTTTGAATAAAGTGGCTTTACCCCCTCAAAAAAATGTATTGTATGATGATCGTTGTAATGGCCCCTAGCTGATAGACCTGAGGTCCTCTCATGTTCTCGGGATGAGGATCGACTCACTTAGGGTCTATCAAATGCTACTCCATAACTGGGTAGTTATAAAGGTAGCTTTCGGGTGTGTTGTGAGACATTGCCGCGAGACATGGTTGACCAAG